AAACTCCTGGGGTCCACAGCCTAGGGCCTGATGTACATCCAGCAGGTGGTCATTAGTTAGTGTCCGTGCCAGGATGCGGGGTTTACTTGGGTCATTGTTGCATCCAAGCGTCTGAGGCCCATTGGCGCTGCCCAACAGAACTTCCTGCAAGGATATGAATGCTTTCTGTCTGGGCTGTGCCACCCATTCCCCTGTCCCCATGGGGCTGGTGAAAGGAGGGACTTCTTAATGTTACTTAATGTTAATAAACGCAGGGAGATACCAGTGAGCAAAACGGAGGAGGTGCCTGCCCTCGTGAAGCTGCTAGTCCAGCAGGAGAGTCGGAAAAGAAACTTGACCTGGGGATCCAACGTCAAAGAGTTTCATAAGCACCAGGAAGAAACTGAGCAGGTTCCCATGGAGGAGAAGGGCGGTGAGCCCCTGAGCCCGCGCTCGGGGAAGGCCCCTCCAGAGAGAACCTTCCAGCTGAGACGCGCAGGGTAAGAGAGGGCTCAGGCGGTGCTGGGACAGGGGGGCAGCAGAGCACGCAGCTGCGGCGGAGGAAGGAAGTCTGGGCTGGATGTGAAGTGCGGGGGAGCCTCTGAGAGAAGGTTCAAGCAGAGGCAGCATCTGAGCGCCTCGTTAAGGTCGCTCTGGCTGCCACGTGGCGAGGAGAGGAGAGGCGAGCGTGACAAGGTGGGTCCAGCTGCCCCGGGGGAGCCTGGCTTTCAGCGGGCAGTCTGTGGGGGGTGTTCGTGTTGAGCAGGGCAAAGACCTGACTGCGTGCGACCCGGGATCAGGGGAGCCACTGACCTGGCCCGGTACCCCGGCCCACAGAGCCTTCCCGGGAGCCTGACCACTCACCCAACCCCCAGGGATCAAAAGTGGCAGGGGGTACCCCGTGCCCGGCCCTCCTGTGGTCAGGGCGGCCCCTCTGGGCAGGAAGCCACGAGGCAGAGCTGGCGGCTGCACAGACCAGCCAGCACGGAACTGGTGGCCTCAGCCGGGGCTGGGGTGACAACAGGGCTGCAAGAATGTGGCGCCGCCAGTGGGAGGGGTCCAGGGCTCCTCGCAACAGTCCGGGGTGTGTCCGGGGGCGCAGTCTGCTGCACCGGGCAGGGATGCAGAGGCGGAGCTATGGTCCTGGCGGGAGCAAGTCCCCGGCTGCAGGGATTGACCTACCTCACCTCCTCTCGCTGTTTAAGACTGACAACTCAGACCTCGCCTGCTTTAGAAAACGCCTGCTGACACCCTTCATGCCCACAGCAGCCTCAGCCCGGGGCCCTCCCTGTGTGCTCCCAGGACGCCCGGTGCATGGGTCTCTCAGTGCGCCTGCAGCTTGAAACTCCGCTTTTCTCTCCATGCGTTTATCTTCTCCGCCAGGCTGTGAACTTGTCATGGTCAAGGTCAGTCCGCTCTGTAGCCCCAGACCCCACGCAACGCCGAAGCACATAGTGGTTGCTCAAAACATTCTTATTGGATGAGGGGCCTGTGGCAGAATCGGCAGCACGGACCCCTCTGAAGATTAAATGGTGAAAACAGCCTGGAGGGAGCCAAAGAGCCGGGTCTTTGTGTCGCTTCTCCGTCATCGTGCGGCGAAAGGCGTTTGCTTCCCGCCTGAGCCAGGGCCCTCCGCCCGCCATCACCGCGCAGCCGCCTGCCACACCCTGCTCGGATCCCAAGCCACCGGCCGCTGTCCAGTTATAGCGGATCCTGCTCTCCTGCCCTCCCGTCTTCCCTGCTCCAGATGGCAGCTGCGCCTCCTTCCACAGACCCTGGGGCTGTCCTTCACGCAGGCCTTTCTCCCATGCCCCGCCTCCGACCTGTCCGTCCGTCCTGCCCCATTTACCTCCGAGACAGCTCCAGGATCTGTCTGCTTGTCCCCTCCCCACCGACACCTCCTCTGAACCTCCGCCACCACCTCTGTTCCTGCTCCCCGCGGCGCTCTTCCCTACCGCTCTCCGTGGTCTCATTTCTCACTTCCTTTGGGTCTCTGCTCAACTGTTACCTTCTCATTAAGCCTTCCTTATAACTTCTTTAAAATCACGCACACACACGCTCTCTCTCACACACCTCACCTGCACTCGCCACCACTCTCCCCTGCTTCCTTTTTATCCGTATAACCAGTCCCCTTCGAACGTGTTCTATACTTTGCCTATTGACTTATGTTTTGTTTCCCCCCCCCACTGGAGCTACAGTATAGGCTCCATGGGGGCAGCTGTTCTTTACCTGTTTTGTTTACTGCTGTGCCCTCAGTGCTTGGAACAGTTCCTGGCACATGGTAGATGCTCAATAAATGTGTGTTAGAAAAATCCATTGAAAATTAATAAAACTGGCATTGTGGTTTTTTATATCAGTCTTGAGACTTGATTAGCCTGAGAAAAGTCTCCTTCGAATTCATCAGCTGCACACACACTATCAAAATAGCTTCTGGACCTCAAAACCAAGTAAGAAGCAGACGTGAACTGCAGGGACCCGCCGCTAGCCCCTTAAGCGAAACATGCAGAGCGGGGCGACCGTCTGGATCCGGCGCGCCGGCCCCGTGCTGCTGCTTTGGGAAAGAAGACACGTGGGCTGAGCCCGACCCGAGAGTAACCGTGTGAGTGTCACACACTGTGGACAGGGATTTATAGAGTTGCATTTCTGAGAAAATGACTCAGAATCCCGTCAGGACAATATCTGATTGGGCTGGTCCTTCTAATTAGCTTTCCATTTTCTAACAGGACCTCGCGGTGAGGAAACCCAGCTCGCTCATGCCACGGAGGCCAGCATCCCAGCAACGTCGCTGCGGCAGGGCATGTCCTCCGGATGCAATATGGTGAGGAGGCTCTGCACCTCTGGGGCTTTCTTTTCAGGACCGAATTCCAGTCCAATCATGAGTAAAACACCAGACCGGGGGTATTCTGCAGGATACCTGGCCGGGCTCCTTAGGACTGTCACGGTCGTGGCAAGCAAGGCAAGGCTGAGAAACTGGCACAGGCCAGAGGGGACCGGGAGCCGTGACAACGGACGCAGTGTGATGGCCTGGAGGGGATCCTGGAACAGAAAGAGGATATTTATGGGAAAACTGCTACCTGAAACCGTGCAGCTGCCACACTCATCAAAGCGCCCTAGCCCCTTGGCAGCGGCTTCTGTGCCGCGCAGACTGAAAGGCAGGGGCTCCCACAAGCTGAGGCTGCTCCTTCCTAATTCTTCCCACTTATCTCTGAAGGACACGGTCGTCTGGGTTTCCTGCCAGGTGAGGCTCACAGACCTGGCTCTCCCTCCTGCTCCACCTGGGGCCAATTCGGGCCCTGCCCGGCTGTTTCTACAACTGCCTTCGTGAAGCTGGGCCCAGAAGCCCCGACGTGGGCTCTGTGTGCTCAGGCTCCCGGAGGCGCGCAGCCGCGCCCGCTGACTCTTCCCCATCGCCGAGCGCTTCCGCTGCGGTGTGTGTCAGAACACGCCCGACGTCCATGCAAACCGCCTGGGGCAAGAGCAGGAAGACGGAACGTAGACGTGTAAGAGGACGTGCTCCAAGCCACGCCACGTCCATCCTGCGTGCGTGCGGGCACTGCGGTGCCGCCCTGGCTGCCCCTGCGCCCCCGAGGCCACCTGGCACAGAACACGTGGCTCACCGAGGCCATGAGCCCTCCAGCACCGGGCAGGCGCCGAGACCGGCGCATGGCAGGGAAGCAGCTTCAGGGGAGAGCAGGGCCCTGGCTGCTGCCCAGGGGAGAAAGGCCGGCAGTAGAGGGAGGGGGGGTTTAGTCAGAGTCTTGGGAGCCTCTGAAACAGAATCGGATGAAGAGAAGGATCCTTTTCCGGGCAGGAAACTGCCTTCATGTCTGGCCACATCATCTTCTCGGTGAAGTTTGCCTGTTGGGGCACTCACCTCCTGAATCCCCTGATCTTGTAAAAGACGCCATTGCGGCCGTGTCATCGCCTGGCCCTGCCATCACCTCTCCCTAGCGGAGGACTGTCATTTCTGCCCCAGGACCGTCTGAGTTCACGTCCTGACCTGTCCTCTCCTGCGCCTGCGCCGCTGTACTCCTTGCCTCCAGGCGGCCCCTCAGAATGAACCGAGACCCTGACCTGGCCGGGCCACTCCCCACCGCAGGCTGTTCCGGCTCCAGGTGAAGGTCTAACCGTGGCCCTGGTCCCTTCGGCCTCCTCACCAGAGCTCCCTTCCAGAGCACCTGGCCTTGCCCACGCTCTGCCTCTGCCAGGAAGGGCTAGCTGCCTCCCCGCTCGTACCAAGCCCCTCACCAGCCACCTCCTTGAAGCCTTCCAGGGCGCACCAGGGAGGCAGCTGGCCATGTTCTTCTGCATGCAGGACTCCTCTGGAGCACCAACCCCGTTTAATTCTTTGTCTCACTACAACCTTCTAAAAGGCAGATCACGCGTGATGCCTGGTGCCTCGCAGCCACTCAGGGTGTGCTGTGAGAATGAATGCGATCAATGAGTCTGTGCACAGGTCAGGCAAGATGACCACTTCCACGTGCTCCCAGTGAGGGACCCTGCTTCCAACACAACGGCCTGGGCCCCAAGGAGAGGTGTCGCCCTTCCAGCGAAGCCAATCACCTGAAAGGCTGGCAGCTGTTGGGGGCCTCGCTGTGGCACCCAGTGATCAAAGTCACCGTGATTCGTGTGGCCACACAGGCAGGGATGCGTGTTCTGGTAGTTCCCAGAGTATTCTGGGAACTAGAGCTGGGAAGATTTCACGTCAAAGAAGAGAATGGACTGTTGGATTAAACAGGTATGTACTTTGGTGCCTTTAATTTGCTACAGACGTGGGAGTCCCCAAGGGCTGGGCAGTCGATGGTGTTCCCCAAACTCCGTCTGACCACAGGGCGCTGTGGACCCCACTCTGGGAAACACTGGCCCAAGTTGGATTTTTGCCGAATGAGGGACAAAGGACCCAGAACTAAGCATTTGCTTATTTCCCATTCATCGTGGTCGCTCTGAAACATGGAGTCATCGGGATCGAACACGGTCTTTCTCAGAAAAAGGATGTCTTTATACAATCGTGAACTTTTATTGAGAATAATCATTAGCAAAATGAAAGTAGTTGCCTCACAAATGCAGCATCAGAGAGTACTCAGAAATGGATTAGAAAATAATTATATTTTGCCACAGATTCAAATGGAACTACAATCACTGGCTATAAAATACAGCCATACGTAATCACACTGAAAACAAAAATGGAAAATCTTCAAACTCTTTGCCCGGGTGGCAGGACATCCGCAGCCCTCAGAGCCCCAGCGCTGTGATCCCCAGTAGCTGGAAGGCCGCCCGGTGCCGGTGCGGGGTCTCCACGGGCACGTCACCGTGAGGAGGTCTGATTAAACGCTTCTGATTTTCTCAAACAGGACTTCTAACGGGAGGAGTGGCAGTCACAGCACGAGAAATTCACTGGGGCTGCATCTGACGCTTCAGCTTGGAGAGTCGCATGAGGCACTCGTCCCTCCACTGCCTTCTGGCAGCTAAGTGCTCTGGGTCATCAGGAACCTTCATGCACATGGCCTGGGAGAAGGAAGAGGAAAAAAGCAGCATGAAGAGGAAATATTAATAATTTGCCATGAGTGTAACTGATGTCCCTGCTTATGCGAACTGCTCATAGATTGCTTTCAGAGACAAAAGGGTACTAACCCCTCAATTATCATAAGCTTTCTTCCAAGCCTTTAGAGACCTAAGTCCCTGGGAGACACGTCAAGATGGATCACTAGCTCACTGCTCACACTGCTCTTATGGGGTCCTGCTGACGTGATGGCGCCGTGGACAGACAGGGTGAGGAATGAGGATCGCCAATTTCAAGCGCCAACGTCCCAGCTACAGGTGAAGGGCCCCCGGCGGCAGACGTGCGCCTGCACGCTTCTGCGCACTGAGTCTCATACCTGATTAGCCTTCTCAACCGTGTCCCTGGAAAACTCTGGAATGGGTCCAAAAGTCTTTAGGACACGTTTTATGCCTTCGACGTATCTGTCGCAGTAGTTTAACATACCTGAAATTGCAAGAAAACAAGAATCCACAGTATCAGCAAGAATGTTCCGTAACTCCAGACTGAGAAATGTGTTCACAGGGCTTCGCTCTGGGCGCCGGTTAACTACACTCTCCTCTTCCTGTGGACAAAGGCAGGCCAGGCCCGCTGCCTGCCGCTGGCCCGTTTCCAACAGTGTCCAAAACCCGACAGACTCAGCAGCGGGTCAGTCAGCCTAAGAAGTAGCAAGGAAACAACGAAACTGCAGGATTTACAGAAATCTGGCGCTTGGCTCTCCCCTACCCCACAAGAACTGCGTATGATTAATTTAAAATAAAACAATCAGTGCTAGATACTTTTGGAAAAAAAAAAAAGACAGACAGACAAATGCCTTCTGGGTTTGGTTGTGACTGACCTCCACCCACGGGAAGGCCTAAATTCACTGGGTTTCAATTTTGTCTCCAATAGTTCCTCTCCTCTCTCTGTGCAAAAATCCCCCGAGAAGTCGTTTTGAAGGGTAAAAAACTCAAACATACCAAGTTTTCTGACACTAGCCCCTGCGATCAACGGGTGGCTACTCTTTTTGAAGGAAGGGGTCATCATTCCACCTGACGCGAGTGGCCCTTGGCGACGCTGCGCCCGACGCACCCCCAGGGGCCCGGCGCGGGCGAGTCGCCCACCGGCACGCTTGGTAGAGTGCACACTTCACTTTCTATTTATTTGTTCAAACTAAGACAAAATCTAGACCCAAACACGGTTTGTTCCTTTCAGGGTGGGGGACAGAGACACGAGAATTGGACAAGGGGCCGAGAGCCGCGTGCACCCCCGGCTGCAGGCCCGCGCAGCTCCCGAGACGCTCTCGGGCGAATTCGATCTCCCTCGGGACCTGAGCGGCCGTGGCCGCGGGACTCGATCCCCACGCCACGCTTGTCTCTGGGTTACTTTCCACTCTCCGAACAAGTGTTCGTCTTTCACTTTTCTGTGAAATCATTCAAATCTCTGAGGGGCTTTCTGGAACTTTCTTTCCCTACTGCCTTTTATAAAATTTGTAAAGTTTTATAGGGACACTTAACAAAACAGAATAAAATGTGGTGGAACTCTTTACAGTACAACTCATAATCCCCCCCAGTTTGTTCGGGAAACCAGTTAAAATTTCTATCTGGACAGCCAGGTGTGGTGGCGCACACCTGCGGTCCCCGCTACTCGGGCGGCCGAGGCAGGAGGATCGCTTGAGCCCAGCCTGGGCAAAACAGCAAGACCTGTCTCAAAAAAAACACACAAAAATTTCTACCTATTAAGACATAAAACCCTTTCTTTACCATGTGCTCCGGGCTCTCGGGACGAAGAGCCCCCCGTCCGTGGGGAAGGTGAGGGCCACGCCTCGTGCCCACGCCGCCGCGCGGGCTGCGCGTGCTGCAAACATGGGCGCTCACGGTGACGGAGGCTCAGGACCTGAATCTGCCTTTTCACCGCCAAGTCCCCGTAAATTTATGACTGATTTATTTGCAACACCTCCCCTTGCATTTAGAGAGGGATAATTTATTTTCTACAATAATTTTGGCTTTTCTCCACGACAAGAGGAGAACTGAGTGGGAATTACTCTAAAATATTAGTTCAATCAGAAATGGAAAAAACACAAGACAACCCACCTCCCTCATTCCCCGAGTCGGCCCTTCCCGCCGCTCCTACCCCAGGTGGCCGTCCCTGTTTTCCTCCTACGCCTCCAGGCCCCGGTCCCTCGAGCTCTGTTCCTCCACAAACCCTCTCAGGGCTGAGCTTTATAGAAGACGCAGAACCTGATGTCTTCAGGGTACTCGTGTGGAAAACAAAACAAATGCAAAGAAGAACTGATCCTCACGAGATTAGACCATCTCGCTGCTCTCTAACTGGGGTCCTTCAGCTGTGGGCCACCAAGGGCGGGTTTCCCGAACCTGCAGCATGCCCGGTGCACAGGCAGGGTGCCTTCCCGTTCCCAGCAAGGAGCAGGCGCCTGGGGTGGCCTTGACCCGGCCGGGGGACACAGCCCTCTGGCAGGCCACGTGCGCCGCTCTGGGAGTCGAGCTTCTTGCAGAATCCTAGTTGCTACCACACCAGGAGCCCGGTTTTCACGCAGCTTGCGAACCCACGCCTGCGTGAATGCACCCGCTTTTAAGAGACGGGGTTTCACAGATCTTGTTAAGAAACATCGGAAGGGCCTCAAAGCGCAGAGCGGCATCGTCCAACTCCTCCTCTGAGGATCGGCTCGGGGAGGGGGAGGCCGCCGGGGCTCCCTGACCTGGCCAGGCCTGGTCGCCTCAGCCCTGCCGTTTCCCCGGCAAACAGCAGCTCCCGCAAACGAACCAAACCCCCCGGGTAGGCACCCCGATTATAAAGCAGACAAGCGTCTACACGTAAGAAATTTTGCAAGGTAAAATGGTCCATAAACATCCACTTTCCCTGGAGGTGATTTCCAGGGGCTGCCAGATCCTGAGGTACCCTCGTTTCACAGAACACACGCGGGAGGAGAAGCCCGAACAGCCCCGGGGACGAGGCGGAGCGGCTCTCGCTGCTGACCTGCTGGTCTAAAGCTCAGCAAAGAAGCAAACCAGGCAGTGACACTCTGGGTCCCTGGCTCGGAGGTCTCTACTCCACAGCAAAAGTACCCCAACGGTATTCCTCTCTCAGGTACCTGCAAATCTTTCTGGGAGAATTAAAAGGACCTAAGAAAGTAGTAAGTTAAACAAATAAGACAAAACTATATGAATACGACATTTATTAAGGACTAAATACGTGCCAGCCATCCAGCCAAACGCTCCCATCTGGTTCAATTCTCACACCCCCCGCGGGAGGCAGTTACTGTCATGTCCCCATTTCATAGATGAGGAAACTGAGGTGCACTGGGCTTAAGTAACTCGCCCGAGCCAGGGTGGGACCCGGTGACCGGCTCCATAGCCAGAACCGCTATTGTGAGAACTTGTTCTTAAAAAGTAGCCAAAAGGCAAAGTAAGCACACCGGCCTCCTGTTTCTCAGGAACTATTTTATTAGATTAAAAACAAATTCTAAAATATTTGAACTAGTTCTAGATAAATGGTAGCTTTTAAGACTAATAACCACCCTTAACCTGAGATGCTGGCTTTACGAAAACAACATCAGAAAAAAAGAAAAAATTCTCTCAAACTCCAATCTTGATATATTCTGGGTGACACTGTGAAGAATAATGACCATTTCCACTGGTTCTCAGCCAGATCTTATAAGCGTCTGACTCTGGTCTTTGGAATGCTCTGAAGTTGAAAATTACATCCGCCCGGCCTGATCACATTAAGCCAATTAGGTTCTCTTATCATACCTGCTGTGTTTGAAATTGTCACTGCCTCCTTCCTGTCTGCCACCCATTTCATTCTTGGGTTTCTGGTTTCATTGGCCTCTGTTTCTATTTGTTTGAAAGTCAAAGCTGTTCTCAATTCTATCCCTATCAATTTCTCAGGATACCTCGATTATCTTATTTTTCTCAAGGGAAAAAAAAAAGAAAAAAGAAAACCGCGGTGGTAACAGGCAGAGTCTACACACATTTCGAATGCTCACATGCGCTCACCGCTTGTAAGGTTCTGGTTGCGAAACATCTGAAGTTATCCAAGACTTCATTTTAATGATACCTCAAAACTCTTGCTTCACTTGCGGAGGGCGTCTTTACCTTGTCTCCCTACGTTCAGCCTTCATCCTCCCACAGAACCACCAGGCCGGCGCTGGGAGGTGACAGCCCTCTTTCCTTCTGCTCTGCCGGCAAAGCCCGGCGCGTGGCACACCCGCCGCAGAGGACGGGCTGCGTGTGCAGGGCGCGCGGCCGGTCCACTCGGGGACTCACGCGTGCGCCTGCTGTGCACAGCAACATGCCTAGTGACGCTGCCTTGAGTCACTCGTTGGAAAGTATATGTCATTGACTGTGAAATTGAACTACCACTAAAACGCCGTGAAATTACAGAACGGAGAGAGGCCACCAACTCCGACTCCCCCCTCCCTGCAGGAGTTTCCTCTCCACGCCTAAATGTCCCCCAGTGGGCAGCCAGGTGCCCCGCTCAGCTCGCCCACTCACAGCGCGGCCCTCTCTGGACGTCGGCTCCAGTTACTAGAAAGTTCTTCCTGCCACGTACTGAGCCCTGACCTGTGTGCCTGCCATTTCCAGTCTTTTGCCCTGGCTCCACCCCCACAACAGACATGGACAGGCAAACACCTCTCTGGTCACCTTTTTCTGGGTGAGTCTGAGTTTCTCAGGATCCTTGGTGAAATGCAGACTGTGGAGATACATACAACATCCCCTTTCCCTTTCTACACGTTTTCCAGCTTAGCATTATTAATCTACATAGTTGCAGAAGTTTATGACAACACGGAAAAGCAAAAAAGATAATAAAAGGTACTCATAGCTTTGACACCAAGAGACAGCTGGTAATATCTAGAGGATATCTTTCTAGATTTTTATACATAGCTTTTAAAATTTGTTTTAATTACGTACAGGTTTTTTGTTGTTTTTCAAATGATGTCTTCTTTTGGGATTATTTAAAAATCTCACTGATGGAGTTTCATTCTTGGAAGCGTCTCATCCTCCTCAAGGTGTCCGTCTTTTGGAGTCACCCATCACAGGCTCAGACCTACTGCCCCCAGGCCTTCTGCCTCGTGGGGGCGAACGTCTGGCCTGCCCCGCCCCAGCGCCCTGCCCATGGAAGTACCTGCTCGAGGCTCCCTTGCCTTCCGGAAGGGAAACCTAGGGCTCAACAAATCACACTTAGAAGCTGTTCATATTTAGGCAGAAGACATGTCCAGCAGAGGTTCCTGTAGGCTAAGTCTGCCCTCCTAGCCTTTTCTTCTTGCCTCTGTAAATAACTTCCTCATCTTCCTTAGGAAAAGGCAACGTTCTCTTCTGCAAGGCTGGAAGACATGCAGCGGAGTCTGCGTAACATGACCACCTCTCTTCTTCTGAGCCGTCGTCACCTGAGCTCGCTTCACCACACGGGGCCCTGAGGTACACGAATTCCACGTGGATTTACACCTCAGTGCACACAGCTGTCCCAGCCATCATCTCCTGCAGATGCTACTGTCTCTATTCAGTTGTAAGAAAAGGCAAAACTGGACTATTTGCAAGACCCACGAAAGTACTAAATAGCACAGAATTCCCATCTTAGCCCTGAATGCGTACCTTCCGCATTGAGATGCATCGTTTCCAGGGGCCCGATGAACGCATACCGCGTGCCCAGCCCTTCCGACATGACGAGGTCGAGGTCGGCGGGAGACATCACTCCTTCCTGCGTGGAGAAAATGGGCGGCACAGAGATGAGTTCTCCGCAAAGACAATTTCGTTTCCATCACTTCCATCCTAACTTCTTTAGAGCAGGATCCCAAAATACTCTCCAAAGCACTAAACAGGTTGCGTATTCCTCATCTGAAACGCTTGGGACCAGAAAGGTCTCAGGTTTCAGATGGTTTTCAGATTTTAGAATATGTGCACACGCGCAGTATCTTGGGGATGGGGCCCAAGTCTAAACATGAAATTCATTTATGTTTCATAGACACCTTACACACGTAGCCTGAATGTAATTTTATACAATATTTTCAACAACTTTGCACATGAAAAGTTTGTGTACACTGAACCCTTAGTGGCAGAGTGGCCACTATCTCACTTCGGCACTCAAGAAGTTGCAGATTTTGGAACATTCTGGATTTTTGGATCTCGGATATTCAACCTGTAATAGTACGTTGATTAAGTGTTGCATTACAAAACTGTAATATATAATGGGTCCTGAAAAGAGACTATTTTGTGAAATGGCCAAATACCAATTCACCTTTTCCCTCCCTGCAATCCACCCGGGCTTGAAGTCAATTCCTCCCCACCCCACCCTTCAGCCTGCGGACTGCCTGCAGCTGCGGGGCGGCGAGGAAGGGCACGGGAGGAAAAGGGCGGGGGCCTTTCTGGACATCCGCCCAGGACGCGGGGCTGAGATCAGAGCCATCCAGAGCGGGAGGGTGCTCTGTAGGCTTCATCTGCCCATGAGTCCCACCTTGCCAGCTTTTAATGAGTGCGTAGAAAGTGATATTCTTTGATGAAATGCAGCTTAGAACCATGGGTTTGTTTGCCAAGGTGGGGCCCTAGGATCGTCTGCAATGTGAACTGCAAAGCGAGAGGCGGGTCATGCGTTGAGGTGAGGTGTCCAATCTGCCACCTGTGTTACTTGGCCTCGTGGCTTTGGGGATGAAGCAGGAATCCACTGTGGTTCGCTCCCTTTGGGGGTGTCTTCACCGTGGGCATTTCGACTGCCAGCGGGTGTCCTTGAGGGAAGCCGTCCCATTCTGCCCTACGCTTTCACAGGTCACACTGGCAGGCTTCCCGGGGACTCTGCCACTCCAGGTCTCATCTCCTGAGTACCGCCTCTCATAGAGTGCTGCGGGGACAGGCTGCCATCGGCAGCATGGTGGCCCTGGCAGCCCTCAGCTGGGGGCCTGATTCTCCTACTCCAGCGGCACATCCACACGCCTGCTCCCGCTCCCAGCCACAAGCCCGGGCAGGTGGCCAGTCACACCTGTCCCCTTTGCTTGGGCTGTGGGCAAAGCCTCTGCTTCTCCCTGGAAGGGATGCCTGTCGGCCTAGGGCAGGGCCCTGTGGTGCACAGGAAACAGCCTCCCGCCTTGCAGGTGGCCCCTGCTGTCCTGCCACCTGTGGGGCCTCCTGCTTCTAGGCTCCAAAGGGGTCACCCAAGCAGCTGAGCAAGAAACGGGGTTTGCAAGCCCCGTCACCGGCACCTCAGCTGCTGTGGGTGACACACAGGTGGTCTCAGGTGTGTGTGGCAGTTTGGACACCTGGGTTCACCTGCAAAGAGCTCCGTGGCGATGCGAGTGCAGAGGACGGAGCCCAGAACCAAGACGCGGACAGCCATGCAGCCGCGAGGGCGAGTGCCCTTACTGTGGCCGAGCAACTCCCTCCTCAAGAACCGCTTTATTTAGTTGTGGTTGCAGACAACGCTGAGCTGTGCTCCGAAGCGGGGGCGCCGTGTTCCCTGCCTCCAGCACGGCGTGGAAGAGTTCCCATTGCTCCATGCCGTCCCCAATACTTGGTGTCCTCAGGCTTGCTAAGCTGGCAGGTATAATGGTGTCTGCTCGTTCTAAATCATCCTACCATGTGTTCATCCGGACTGCTAAGGACAGCAAAGTAATTTATCCAGTTCACTGAAATGCTGACAGGGGTCACCTCCTTGCACTTCTGATAGCAAAGCTGTAGGGGGGAGGGCGCGTCACTGAGGAGGAATAATCGACAGAAGGCCCCAGGGGATGCCCAGAGCCCTCAGGGAGCAGACGTCCACCCATGGCGTCCTGCCTCCCTCTCCCTGCGCATCCAGCTCTTGGGGCAGGAAGGGTGGCTCTGGCCCTCTCTCCAGGCAGCCTGAAGGCCATGGCTGCGGCATCCCTGCACCCCGTGGACTGAGAATGCTGGGAAAAGCTGCACTGGGGCCCCCGGACACTCCCTCATTCTTGGTTTCCAGGTCAACATTCCAGCCCGAAGTTCCCATTTTCGCATCCAAACTGTGAAGGATGCAGATGCGGAAGCCAGTGCTATTGGGCTTGGCTCTTTTCTCCTAGAATTGTGTATAGTATTTTTAGAGTTGATTTGTAAAGAACCCTTTTTAGGATTTCAAAATACCCCAGAGGTGAGCACCCCAGGGTCACTGACATTTGACATGTAAGTACTGTCCGAGCTAACAGCACCCGACCAGAGCCTGCGTGGGGCTGTCCATGCCACCCCCGATGCAGGGACAGCCACATGCCCTCCCACCCCCGCTGTCCTCTGTCCCCGGTCATCTTGACAAGGGCTGACTTTTTATTAGTGGCAAATCCAGCAGAACAAGTTACAGAAGGAGCAGGATTTGATGTCTTCCCTTCCTCAGCCCGCCTTTCTGACATGTTTTCCATTTTTTTTTTTTTTTTTGGTGACAAAGTCTCACTCTTTTGCCTGGGCTAGAGTGCCGTGGCGTTAGCCTAGCTCACAGCAACCTCAAACTCCTGGGCTCAAACAATCCTTCTGCCTCAGCCTCCCGAGTAGCTGGGACTACAGGCATGCGCCACCATGCCCGGCTAATTTTTTTTTTCTATATAGTTTTAGTTGTCCAATTAATTTCTATTTTTAGCAGAGACGGGGTCTCGCTCTTGCTCAGGCTGGTCTCGAACTCCTGAGCTCAAGCGATCCACCCACCTCGGCCTCCCAGAGTGCTAGGATTACAGGTGTGAGCCACCGCACCCGGCCCATGTTTTCCATTTCTGAAGTAGATTTCTCAAGGCTTGAGTTTTCACCAAGAAGTTAAGTCTGGAGAAAGAAAATGGCCCCAAGTCATTGGGCTGAGAGGCCAGCAGACTAGGATTCCACCCCACTGGGGCAGACGTCAGTTAGAGTTCTCCCTGCCGCACTCGCGGGGTACACGACATTTCCAATTCGGGATATGCTGAAGCTCAAGTTGCTTAATTTTGCCATGGAGCTCAATTCCACCCAAAGCCTGTGACAGCCTGACCTATATTATCATAACAATGACAATAAGTAACGGTGGGGCTGACACAAGTGCTTACATTGAAATGCTGAACTGACAAAGGACTCCGTGGAGGAGGGGGGCGCCCACACCTGTTTGGGGACTGGAACCCAACCCCCCAGCGTCCGGTGTTTCTGAGGTTCAGTGAACATTCATCGGCAAAGCTCTCAGTACTTCCTCCATCTGGCGGTAAAATTCTCAAGGCACATGTACAAAGAAAAGCCCCAATGGTTAAAAGATTCTTAAAAACTCATAAACAGCAATGAACACTAAGATCCCTGTTAGTTCAAAACCTGGTTTTTGTACCATGTCCTGAAAAACCACTGGGTGAGGCGAGCCTAGGCAGAGTGCCAAGGAGTCCCCTTTATTGGAAAACTTCTTGCCTGTATTTCCTTTAGCTACGGGCCGAGACTTACCGCAGTCAACTAACATGTGTGCCTGGCCTGGGCAGAAACTTTGTACCTGGAACGCTGGAGTCAGCGCCCAGCTCAGGGGAACCACAGACTCCTCCATGAAGCAGGAGAAAATTCGAGGTAGTCAGTGAAGCACTCGATTACTACGGTACAACTTGTAAGTATCACCAAGGTTTAGGGATGTACCAGTCAGGGTCCTACCAGGGAGACAGAGACAGCAGGACACACACAGACTGATTTTGCAGACCTGGCACATGCCACCGTGGGGCTGGCAGGTCGCAGCCCACAGGGTGGACCGGCAGAGCAGGCCGCAGCTTGGCAGGAGCTGACCCTGCAGTCCACAGGCAGAGTTTCTCCTTCCTCAGGGAAGCCTCGGTTCTGCTTTTAAGGGCTTTCAACCAATGGGATTTAGCCCACTCAGATTGTGGATAATAATCTCCTTTACTGCAAGTCAACTGAGCTACAAAGTACCTTCCCAGCTACAGACTGCGCTTGCCTGAACGGGGGTGCTCTAGCCTGGCAAGCTGACCCCTCAGGGGTATTGCTTGTGGGGTGGGGAGAAGAGGCAGCAAGACAGGTCTGATGACTAACAATAGCAAGAGGTTAAAGGGGACCATGCTACTTGCTCTGGTCTTTGCGCCAGACCCAGAAGGAGGGGAAGGCAGGTGGGTCTTGCAGGGTTGGGGCATGTGATATTTGACGCGTGGTCCCCTGTGACCATTTCCTCTACTGATCACCAGCCACACAGAATTATCTTCCCTTCTCCCCAATCATCCTATTCTTACATGTCTTTTTAATTCATGTTTTTGCATGCCTCTGTTTTCATTTCTCATTTTCCCTTTTTTCAAAAACTAATTCCCAGCTTTTGATATTCTATTTTGTTTTGTCCTACTTTTCCCCACACTTGATGCTGAATTTTCATGTTTTTCTTGTGCAAACGCTGCTTTAACTTTACTACCATCACCACCACCAGGAACTCAGACTTGCCACCCGGGAATCCGGACCAGGTTTTATGCAAGTACTTCCCCACCCTCCTCAAGCAGAGCCGTCCATTGTCTTAACTGAGAAACAGCAGAAAGCTGAGAGTCAGGAGCCGGAAGAAGTTCTGTCTTAGGCAAGCGTCAGACGATGAAACGCAACAGTGAGAAGCAGAGTACTGTGCCTCTTCAGTCCTACAAGGGCGACCTGAAGGCGGTGCCGGGCTGGTTGCTACCGCCCAGATCAGAGGCCAAGGAGAAGCGACTAAGGGCAGCGAGTCCACCTGACTCTTTAGTTGGAGTAAGGATGGACCACAGTTCAGCCTCAGTGACTGCCTGGTCTCCA